TCATCACTCCCAACAGCAAGACAGGCAGACTGTTTTGAATATTCCTCCCTTCTCCTTCCATAGGAAGATTGTCATAAAAGACCTTTTATTGTCCACAGCATAATTGTTTTGGTTAGGTACAAGGCACACTTTGTACAAAAAAGAAAAGAAAAAATACACATCAGGTATTTGCAGTGTTTTATAAACACTGAACTATAAAATACTTAAAAGTGGTTGATTAAAAAAAAAAACAACACCTCTGTATTTCTCATTAAAGTGCTGTATTTTTGAGGAATACTGAATTTGGTAATGTAAGGAGATAGAGAACTAAGCCTGTATTTCCTTATGATATGTAGCTCTGAGATACAATATATGGTTACTGGAGGAAAACTGTAATCCCATTAAATAGAATTTGTAAAATTCTGTTAAAATGCTATCATTTACTGAGCGCAGCAATTCTCAAGTGGAGGGAAGGCTGTTATTCACCGGAGGGCTCCAGGGAAGGCCAGTAACCAGCTGCTAGCTCCTCTTTGCCTTCAGCTGCTCAACTGTAATAATTTTTTTATGTGACTGTTTCCCAACTGTGTCTGCTGCCACTGCTCTAAACTCAGCAAGGCATGGGGAACAGTAGGACAAAACTGTTTCTATAGTGAATCAAAGGACACAACTGCCCTTGGAAGCCTTTCTTGAATAAATTAGTCTACAGGGAAGAAGACAAGTCTCTTGTGAAGAGCAGTAACTGTTTCAGAAGTAGCTTCACATGCCTGCAGTTGGAACAAGTTCAGCAATTTTTGCCATCTCTACTTTCTGATTGAGAGTAGCAACACTGGGGTTTTCACTGTCCATGGAATTCAAGATGAGAATACACAACATAATCTCTCAATTCCTTAGATGTCTCCCATCCTGGAAGATAAACAAATCCAGTACACTGGTGCGAAAAAATAAAAACGGCAAGTATACAAAAAGAATGCTACTTTTATTTTCAAATGCTGTAAAAAGCCTCATATAAATTTTTATAATGCTTCTATGTAACTTTCCCAACCACAACTAATGAAACAGTCTAGGAAAAATATAGCAGTTGCCATTTTGACTCCAAGAACGAGCTGCTGTAATATATCAACATTAAAAGGACAAGATACAGTATGTTACAATGCTTGTAATTGCTCGTATTATTGATAAAGTGAGAGCACTTCCTAAGCATTAGAGTACAACCGGGCTAAACTGCAGTATTCCCTACTTGCTGTTGCAGAGGAGGAAAGTCACCTCTTTAGAAGGAGCCGACACAACACCCTTTGTACTGCTTATGCCCATTTATCTTGTGGTGTGGAGCGCTTTCAGCAAGCCCCTTTGCACTTCGGTGAATTCACCCATGTCAGATGCTATTATTCCATACTGTATCCAACGGCTCAGGTGTTTAACAATTGACCTATAAAAATAACACTTATATAACTCTCCAGCAAGGCAAATTTAACAGTGCAAATGCAGTATCTACAATATTTGATTTCTGAATGCTGGCAATTTTTTAAAACTCCTTTTGCACATGAAATAACCTCTGCTGATGTCCTGCACCTAAGGCCACTCGCTCACGCTGACTGGAGATGGAACAAAGTGCAAAAGCTCAGCTGTGTTTCCCAATCCAAGCTTCTTCCCCAGTTTCAGGGGAGTTTCAGGAATTCAGATCCAGAATTTGGATTCAGGCTCACCACTTCCATCAACGCACTCAAGTTTTCCCTGCTGGAATAGGTTAACTTGCCAGCACACCTCAGATAACAGTTTGCATATACAATTCCACATTTTAACAAAAGTTAACAAAACGTACTTCCAGAAAATAAATTTTCACATGGTTGCAATCATCAAGCCATTTCAGGATCTTTGGTACTCCAAGAATAAAAAAAATAAATGGCACAGTGACAAACATCGCCAAAGGAAAAAAAACACAACCATCCAAAGGAATAAGACAAAAATAACAAAACAAAAGATATGTTGCCCTTCCATTTTCTGAAAGCCAGTGTAGATTAACCTTCTCTTCTCTTCCATTACTGTGTCACAGTTTCACCTTTAAAAGAAATTCTATCATCCTAAAAGCAGTAGTTAATATTTTGTTTAACTTGACTTACTGATTAAAATAATGCTATGTTAAAAAAAAAAAATCAACTACCACAATACAGGAGTTTATGCTAAATAGGCTGCAGGCTGTTTCCCTATGGATATAACTCCTATGTGAGCGCTGATATGATTAATCATCCGCAATTTTAAATGAGTATTATCTTTAGTGTTACAAATATAAGGGTTGAGCTTTTTCCCATTTGTAAACCAGTGAGTATGTACAGACATAGTTGTTTAATAGATAGCTTTAAATTAAGTATGTATTTATCTCCCCTCCCCCAAAACCCACAGGAAAAAAAATAATTAACCAGTATTACTGAGCATTTGTAGTTTCCATGAAATTCATCTTGTCTTAGAAAGTTCAAGCAAATTATGCAAATAGGGTTACTGTGGTCTTTTGAAACGTGGTGTTCACAGGGATTCCACTTCTGGTGCACGTAGTGCCCCATGAATGAGATTGGAAATTAAAGCCAATACAAATTCTCTTTTGAATAGCAGTGTCCTTTGAGGCCAAGTTTGCATCTCGGGTATTTTCTGCCCAAGCTCCTCTGTCTTGGTAGAATGGATTGAAGGCCTTAAAAAAGGAATTTCCTTTCCTAAGAAGCCTCAGAAGTTGCTAGGGCACTGGCAGAATGAAGTCAGAAAGCATAAAAGTGGATTTAAGTGAGTTACTGGTTTTGGACAGTCTTTGGATGGATACCAGTTGAGCTTCACTACACTGACAAGTCTAAGAACAACACTGGAGAATTTGAGAGATCTTGCCCCAATGGCAGTAAAGGGGTGTTAATTAGTGTAAAGTCTGGGAATTAAAACTGGAAGATCAATGAGCTGTTCCCACATAAGTCCAGCATTTAGGAAAAAGTTTTGCTCGGCCATGTTCTGATATAACACCGTATAAATTGCATGGGCCCTGAGGCAGTGGCTACTCCTCTTTGATGAGCTGAAGACTACAATTTTTTGTAGAAATGCAGTATAAATAACAGATATTAGATGCTTGAAGGGAGACAAAATATTGGAGGAATGACATCAATGAAACCCTTAAGGAACGGAGTAGCAGTTGGATTGGGGAAGAGTACATGTACGTTAGTAAGCAACCGATGCATAGAAATCTTGCTGGTAAATGGTCTTTTATGCAGCAGATGAACACCCCAGCGTGTCTTTAAAGCATACAAATAATTCAGAAAAGCTGATACCATGGTGCCTAACAGCAATAAATATTTCTGTAACAGCTTTATAAATAGTCACTTCCATTTTGCTGCAAAAGAGAGTCTAATGGAGTCTTTCCTACTGTATGCCAAACATCCCGCGCTTCACTCTGATAGGTGTTGCAGAGGTTTCAGATGCCTTCCACTTGCATTCAGAGGAGGAAGACAGCAACAGTGACTCTGCTTGTTCAGTTACTGGGGAATTGTTCTTTGCTGTAAATCTCTTTTGTAACCAGAAAATGACATCAAAGATCTCTACTGTATTGTGATACATTCAAAGTACTGCAGATAATATGCTAGTCCAGGCAGAGATACAGATAGATTTGCCATCGACCAGATAGTTGCAAGTTGTTCAAGGAGTGCAGTTCAGTCCTGAACTGCTGCTGGGCTGAGAAGCAAAACCATACCCTGCATATGGAGGGATTTCTGCTTCAGTTTCCTTGACCTAGGAGAAAGAGATCTGTCTCTGCTGTCACCATCCTGCAGACTGGGGAGAAAAGCATTTAGATGGTCTGCTCAATTCAGTTATGGTTGGTTGTGGTTCTTGGAAACTGGGCTGCAGCAGACCAGCTGATCCTTTGTAATCCCATGGTCCACATTAGATGGAGATACTAGAAGAAGATGGAGCCCACAGGAGAGTCTGAGTCTAGTGGGGTGCTCCATTTCCTCTAGCTTGGCAGAGGCTGCTACAGGGTATTCTGGAAAGAAAAGGCTAGAGCAGGATCCCTTCTGCCTGGAACTTCTTAGGGAGACAAAAAAGAAAAAGCAGCAATTTGATCACTTTTCTAGAATATGTTTTGCACAAACACAAAAGGCTATTTGAATTAGGAGTAGCAAAAAGATAATCTGCTTTATAGCAGAGGCAGGAATACAGTCCTGGAAACTCTGCCATCTCTTCAGCACTTGGTATCAGAAAGTTTCCCTTCTGTTAAAAATCTTTGTGTTTTTTATTCAGATTGCTTTTTTCTTCTGAAGTTGCCAACAGGTATCATCATCTTAAACAGTAATACCCATCAGCTATCATTTAAAGCGGAAATACCACTAACAGATCATAGGGACTGGCTCACCACCACACACAGTGGAAAAAGGGAGAAAGAGAAGGGATGATCAGCTGATAAAGCCCTCCAGTGGAGAGAAGCAAGGGGAGGCAGGGTATGAGTAGGCCCACAGGACACTGCTATTTAAAATAATTCAGTGTTGCCACACTCATGGGGTATGTGCAGACCACAACTGGAACACCCTTGAGCAACTGCTCAGAGAATTTTGCAAGTGTGGGCAATGGTTTTTTATACTGCATATCTAAAACCCACCAGGTAAGCAGTATAACAACAATGCTGCATAAAATGGTGTGTGTTTTACTCCTGGGTGGATTAGATGGTTTACAGTACAAACAAAGCCACAGTACAGAGAGGCATAATTAACTGTTATACACACATAGGCAGTGCAGTTAAAGGGATGTACGTTCCTTTTATTCCAGTACCTTTGTATAATAAAGTTAACAAAAATATTCAAATATTTAAAAAAAAAAAAAGCCAGCTGGCACTGCCAACTAATTCCTGTAGTAGTCTTAGAAATCCTAATCCTGTAGAATTTCCTTGTGAAATTGATGCGCACCAGAGTCAATGTATTGATAACTAATGCCAAGCGGGTCTGGTGATGCAGCTACCTGAGGTTTGTATTTTTCTTTCTTTTGTGGGTTTGTGTTTTGTTTCACAACTTCCCAGCTTTCATGTAGGAAGGAATCGAGCCACGCTGTGTGAGCCCTTCAAATCTCTTGTAGGTATAATTGAGGAAAACCCAGTCTTTGGATTTGTAGTCAGGTTCCGTTGTGTTTGGCACTAGAATTCAGAAACAAAAATAAAACAAAACAATTAAAACCAGCTCTGCTTCTGAGAGGCTTTTTCACAGAGCACTGACATAAACAGCCCTGAACTCTCATTTCCCTAGTCAGCAGAAATTCCTTGAAGAAATCCTGTTTCTCATCAGGTCAGTTGCCTTTTGTCAATGGTCTGAGAAGAGTTATAATTTCAGCATATCTCTCTGAAGCAGAAAAAGGCTTTTTTTTTCATTTGTTTGGGTTTTGGGGTTTTTTAGTATGTCTACACACTGTAACAGGCTCCCATATCTTGACAGGAACCTCTAACACACCCACAGGATACAGAACTATGAAAAACACAACATTTAGGGTGCTCCACACACAACAAACACATGTATACATATTGTGTTATCCTCATCACAAACAGAAGAAAAAGATATATCCAAGTTCTCCCAAGAGAACTACAAATATCACGCACATACTGCTCTCCTAGGACTTCCTCCCTGCTTATAGTTTCAGCGAGGCTTGTACACCCTCCTTGTATTTTATGAGCAGCCTGTGGATGTTCACTGCAGTGGGCCTCTATATTTAGCTCTCTGGTTGCTGCTTTTAGAGTTCTCTAACAATATTTTCAACTCAAGATGCCAAAGACACTGATATCAAAGTTTGTATTTAGGTATCTAGATGTACAGTAACATTTCAGTGGGTGTGAAATGCCAAAACCCATACAAATGTATTTGGCATTATCCAAATATGGATTTAAACAGCTTAACTGAGGCACCAGAGATTGATTGCTTTTACGTTAAAAGGACAAACTTCCTTGCCATTAGGTAAAAGCCATTTCAGAAAAAAAAGAGGCAGCTTTTTGATTATTCTTATGGCTGTCAGCACATCTACACTTATCTGTCCTCAATTAATCATTGTTATATATCTGCCTATCTTTAAGCCATTAATAATTAATTGAAAACAGTGGGAGCTGGGAGAATTTAGCATGTTAGAGAATCAAGCCTTTTATGTATAAAAATTTCCTACTACTTGCCAATAGAAATTAACAATTAAAAAAACTTAAATGATTTGCAGAGTCACTCAGGTTCATAAATCACTATGTTAAGTAATCATCTGTCTGAAAATTTTTGCCCACAAATATGTGACCATTTATGTTCGGGATGAAACTCAAAAGTCATTAAAGATCAAAAGTGAATCAGTGCATAACGTTTTACCAGAATTTGGTTAGGCAGGCAGTATGGTAGAAGACTGTACTGTTTTCTGTGCTCACTATATATGCAAACCATTTTTACTAATAGATTTAACTGTTAAAATCTATAGGCTTTTTTTTTCCCGTCCAAAATTCTAAGGAAGTAGAAGCTATGGGAGATCATAGGTTTACATTTATATTTGAAAGAAAGTCTCTAGATCAAGTCTGTATATTACGTTGATTAGGATATTAGAAAAATATAAACAACAACAGCAGCATCTGTTGAGTATTCTGGCACGCTGTAGATAGAAATTTGGAATTTGCAATGGCAGTCTCACCTGGCTGTAAAATATCAGATTCAGGAAATTCATCGAAGTTGGAAGTATCATCAATACTTTTGATTTCTATAGGGATTGCAGCTGGTCTTTCCCTGCAAATAGAAATAAATGCCAGAATAGTGAATACTAGAAAAAGATACATTAAGTTCCAGTTTTGTTTAACTTAGCTTTTTACAGTTACAACATCCCTTTAATTTAAAGCACAAAGGTTCCACTGAGTCCCTCAGAGATGTATCTCACCCGCCTGCTTGCTGACATCACGGGGAGATTTATTGGTTTCCTATCTAACATTAGTATCTTCTTGGCAAACTCAAGGAAAACATCATTTTCCCATTAACTGAAACAGCATTCCACACTTATCTGCAATATAGCTATCGCTACCATCTTGTTTGTCACCAAGAATCGCTTATGAACCTTCATTTCATAAACCGAGGCTGCCCAGCCGAGCAGGGTTTTACTTGCATTTAGAGCCATCAGATGTGTTGCTTTACAATTCCAGCGCTCATCAGCCTGGACCTCATCCAAACACCTTTCGTCTGTAGCTCCTATTTCTGACACACAGTCGCCAGTATCCCTCATCCAAAATAGGTTGCTTCTGACACATTACTGCTTTATAAGCTCAACAATTAGGCAGTCCTTAAGAAGTTTTAAGGTGGTTTTCAATGTTGCTTAAGTGATCTGTCCCACAAAAGCATTCAAACTCGAATGTGACACTGTAGGAAAGTCATTAATTTACACCTGTAAACTTGTTATGGTTGTAATTACTACAATTACAAGTAAACCACTTCTGGGAGGAATGGGGAAACCATTTTGCCAGATTGCCAAATGTGGCACGAACAGGTATGTTACTGTTCTTGCTGCTTATTAATGTCTCCCACGCTGAAAAGGTAAGTGAAGTCAGGCTTTCTGCACCAGAGGAAATGAGAAGTACAGAAGCTGGACAATCACATGCCCATGGTATGGATTTTCATGTAGAAAACTGCAGTATTACTGAAAGACCAGACTACCTCAAACCTTAAAGAGAGCTGAACAGTAGCCATCATTTCAACTGAAAGTACCTGTGGGGCCACCAAAGTCTGCTCTAAAGGTGTTACCACTTTGGGTACATGCAGATGTAGCTCAGCACCTGCAGGCACAAGCTCAGGCTGGAACTGGTACGGCTGCCTTGGCTGGGCCCTCTACCCAGGCTTGACTCAGCAGAATTTGGCCACAGAGGCTGCGACTCTGAGGTGAGTCAGTGCCTCTGCCCAGCGCTCGGTAGACAAACCAGTTCACTCAGATCTAGGATCTGCAGCGTGCAGTAAAGACATGTCCTGTGTTTTCCTCCTGCTTGCTGCCTCTCCTCTTCATTCAACTGTTTCCCCTGCATTTTTGGAATAGAGTTGGCTTTTCTCATGCTCCTATTGCAAAAAAAGTCAGTTATAGCAATAGCTGCAGAGCCCATTACTACTGGGAGAGGAGCTCTCTGCTGATACCAGAGCATACATCAGGAATAACACAGCCACCCTACCACAATTTCTTTCCATCCTGGGCACTCTGGGGCAATCTGAGGCATCTCAAGACAGTTAAACTCTGACCAGATCTATGAATGTCAGCAAGGCCTGAAAACCTTCACTGTCACCCACCTACTGCCAGCAGCTGCCTCTCAAAAGATAAATTGGAAATAATTATTCTTGACATCATAGTACCTTAAATTCTTGCTTTCAAGGCTTTTATTCTCTCTACAAAATGTGTATGTATAGTTACCTGATATGTCCCCAGTCCACTCCTTCAAAAAATGGATGACTTTTTATTTCCTCTACTCCATTACTACCAATTCTATTTTCTGAGTCAATACAAAACCTGAAAACGTGGAAAAAATAAAGGGAATGTTACGATAAATGCAGACAGAAGCAAGAGCAAATAAAACTGCCGTGGTATCCTGTATCAGGAATTTGAGGAAGTTCTTTCAAATTGTTCCATCACTTGGGATAATGTAAAAGCAGCCTGTGGCATCTAGGAAAGAAGAGAAATAGTAGAAGCAGAATATTGTTAAGAGTTCCAAAAGAAAAAGCTATGACGACAGTAACTTACACCTTTTCTAAGTTGTTGCATCCCCAACTTCAAGGTTTGTGAGCAGTTGCTGCAGGTTCTAGCCCCGTAAGATTAATTTGGCATGGCGGCTTAAGTCCCTACCACTGAAAACACCTCTGCATGCTCTCAACTATTTAAAATCCATGTTTCACAGTCAAACTAACAGGAACAGAAACACTGAGTGAAATAGGACTACTCTCTGATGTCACATTTTTGGACCTACAATGAAATGGACACATTCAAAACATGCTGTGTCCCTATTCTCCTTGTCACCCCCTCCTCCCTCTCCTTAGAGATCCAGGTGCTGGTGGTACAAAGATCCAAGACCTACTTCTGATATGGTCCAGCTGCATGACCTTGGCTGAGACTCCAGAAGAAATTGCCAGTTTATGAGAAGCAGCTGTGAGAAAGCCCATAGAGTCAAGTAAGAAGAAAAAGGTGAAATTGGAGCCAGAGATAGCATTGTTGAGATGGGGACTGTTACCTGCTCAAGTAGGCAGGAGGAAAAACACCAACTAGGAAAAGTATAAAATCCTAAAGAAGGAAAAAAACAGGGAGGTGGAAGCTTGCTGACAGCAACTCAGTGACATCAGGAATTTGGTTCCCGCAAGCAGCAGAGGTTGACCCTTCTCTGGACTGATGCCTAGCTGGCTGGAAAAGACTCTGAAGTATCTCATCAAGGAGATGGTGAGCATACCAATGCTTAGCCTATGAGTTCATTAAATCCTAGATATCTTTTGTATGTGTTAGCAAAGATATAACTGCTTTATATTTTTACACGGTCCCTACAGTCTCTTTGAAGATGGCAAAAGGTGTCAACAGTGACACAAAGAGAGAGGTTTACAATAACAGGAGAAAACACCCATATCAAACAAAAAGCTTGCTCTTGCCAAGTGTGGACCTGACAACCTCCTGGAAACAGGGAGTACTTGGTAGCATAGGGATGTGGGCTTCCTGTTGCTCTAAAAGTCAGCTGGCCTTTGTTAAATGAAATCCTGTTTGCCTAGATGAGCAAAACCCCTGGTTCTTGAGTTAGTTGTCCTGAACTCATAATCTCTCCACACGATCACATCATCCAGATTCACAAGGCACTTTTCACATCAATACACTGCAATACAAAAAAGGTGACCTTATTGCTAGTCAGCGAAATTTTCAGCAGGTAATTTAGTAACATAGCAAGTTAGGGTATAAACTGTCTCCAATTATAGACTGTAATGTTCTTTTAATTGTAGTTGAGTGTCACTTGGGGGAAAAAAAGAAAAACCAAAACAAACCTGCTTGTATTTCTACTGCAGCCCAGCCAGTTGGTTGATGCTAAGTACTAATAATAGACCTCAACCTTGTAACAGCAGCTAGCCAGACCAGGTCTCAGGATTTGTCAGGCTTTGTCTGAACTTCAGCTTATTTTAGTTTGGTTTTATCTCTATCTGTAAAAATAAAGAAACTTTAGCTCTGTCTGCAACTTGTCTAACTTGTCCAAGCTGTAATGGACAAAGTACCCAATGGTCAGGCGTTTGTTGCCTAACCTGCTGTTTTGACCTCATTTTAGTAAATTGTCTGTAACTAAAGATGTTTTACCCTAATTTATATCCTATGGAGAAAACCAAATAAATTCAAGTAGTCATTGTACAAGTAAATTCACGAGCAAGACATTTAAGAAATAAACTGCCTGAAATACCTAGAAGTGCCCCAAACACAGCCAAGACTGAGGAGGAAGAAATCCTCAGCAGCAACACTGTACTCTTTCCAGCAAAGAACTCAGGATACTGACAACACACAGGAGAGGTTAAACAGAACGCTAGAGAAAGATACTGAAAACCTAATAAAAGTGTTATACACAAACTTATTAATGAGGATTAGCAATAATTAACGTGAACTGTTATTATCACTAACTGGATTAAGAATAACTCTTTGTTGTATTTGTTATGTTTGTTGCATGCTACTGGAGCACTGCTTGGACTAATAACAAATTCTAGTTCTTGGCTCTGCCTATGAAGTATATTCACCTTTTTGCCTTTAACAAAATTGTGTAAGCTTGTAATATCATCT